CACAATTAATAAATGGGTGATGATGATTTAGTAAAATAATTAAAATGTAAAGGGTGGGCAATATATACACAGATATATATGTGGGTGACAGAACTAAAGGGAGAAGTGTTGCAGTATTTGGGTTGGGTTTGTTTAGGAAGCTGACAACGGACCTATGAGAGGAGGGTCATGTGGACGGTGGAGCGTAGTGGAGGAGTGTCCTACCTTTGAGAGGACAAAGAAATTAGATTAATGTTGTTTGGCAAAACATGAATATTGGGGTTTCCTAGGATGTTGGATTATTTTAACATTAATCACATGTGGTCCTTTCCCTTTATGAGCCGCCATATCCCCTCTTTTCCCAACACTATATCGCATCTTTTATTTTTTTAAAATAATATTCTCATATTTTTTAAAGTTACTCAACAGCTATACACCGAACTGTTCCAGGTTAAAGGGTTGATAACTGAAGTGATTAACAAAGCTCATGTTATAATTAATTGCTGAATCTCAACTCTCAAGAAACCTCATGATTGGATTCCCACACATTCCAGTGAATTAAAAGGAACTTTTTCCCGGGGTGGTATATATTAAGAGAGTCTAAAACTGATGAGTGCTCGATCGCTTTTGGAATGTGGATACTCTATATATTTGATATTTTTGTGTGTGCATCACTTGTGTTGCATTTATTATTTATATGGTCTATATGCCTTCATATTTTTCTTAAAGATCTCCTTCTTATGCATGGAATGACAAGCAGGAACTAGAATCATATATTTGTTGATGAATGTTGTTGGTTATATATTGTAAGCAAATAAAACAGAGGAGAGACAGGGTTGAATTAGTCAAATATTCACACAGAATTTAGACTACTATAAACTAAATTAAAGTGATGCAACAAATACATCGCACGAACAGAAAATGAGAGATAACCAAAAAAAAAAGAAGCAACAAATAACTATGAGAGGAACTCTGTTTACAGCGTTGGGTGGACGATATACTAGAAAAGTGAGTTTAGGAAACTTTGCCTGTTCTATGTTTTAGAAGATATCCCTCACTTGCCCCTCAATTAACAAGCTAGCGATGAATGCTATAACTGAGAATAAATTAAGTTCTAATTTAAATTTTATTTTAATTAATGGAAAATTCAGCATATAAAGGGTAATATAGTCTCTCTGATATATCCATCATGCCTTTCTTCGTAAGCCCACCAAACAGCATCAGTGCAATCAATATTGCATTGCAATCCGGGGAGGTGATTTTGGTTGCTAAAGGCTAGAGCATAGGCAGCATAGGATTCTTGATTGGTTTGAAGGGTCTAAGTTTTAGCCAGAGTTGGACCCAGGGCCCACCACCTGCCACTTCCAACCAACCTCTAGTGGGGCCCAAATACCTCCGTTATGGCTGAACTCGAGGCCCACAACGGAAAGCCCATATAAAAAGGCAGCCTTCCCACTCCCGCAGATCAACTATATAATATACAGTAAAAGACAAATAATTGTCACTTGTCAGGTAAGGTACCCCCATTTCCTTCAGACATTCAACCATGATGAATGACTAAATACGCACATAATTCACAGCACCACGAAAAGATTTGGTTATTTTGGTGAAATTCTTCTCTTTGTGCTGGGCCCGGGCCCTAGGCCCTAGCCTCATTCATTGCAAAATCTATTGATTTCATATGAGACCAGTGTACTAACGAGGATTAAGAAAAGTATTTACATTCAGTGAATATAGCATTTGTCAAGAGTTATAGTCGTTACACTTACATACACATATATATATATATAGCATTCTTTTAGGACTTTTCCTTTTCGCTTTCTATTTTTAAAAAAATACAATGCTTGCCCATATTTTATACATAAATATAAAAAATTAGTTGTATTATTTATGACGAATAAAAAATGCGGAAAGTTTTTTTAAAAAAATTATACTATTCACGGACTTGCAGATAGTATGAATATCATGTACTACATGAAGTTTAAAAATAAGTCACATTATTTATGATTTGAGAATAATAAGTCATACTATTTAAGTAATTCTCACGTTAAGAATAAAAGGTGATATGTGATACCTAATGATTGTGTGGGTATATCGGCCAGAATTGTAGGAGGGATGCAGTAGATAGAAATATTGTATTTTAAGCGAAAATAAGGACCACTTAAATTTCCTCTCTTGATCGCTGAATTGGTCAAAAGAGGAAAAGGGACAGGGCGTCGGGAGGATAACCAGGACCGTGCACGTGGTGGGCGGCGAGAGGCTGCAGAACTTAATCGGAAATAAACATACGCCGTTACCCTCCCGGGGTCGATTTTGTAGGGTATTTTTATTTTTTGTCAATATGATTTTTGTGAAAAAAAAAATACAGTTGGATATTAAATACTGCCTTCCGTCTTAATTATAAGATTTTGTACATAAATCATAAACGAGAGTTTAAAATTAAAACCGAAGATAATATGAACGTAAGGGCCTCTCTAAGTTGCAGTTTGAGCTTTGGCCCAAGATATTACAAGGGATTCGCTCCTTCGACCCCACTAAAAAATATAACTCATTTTAAACAGAGACATAAGTTCAAAATTTTTATTAAATAAATACAAGCAATGATATGTATATATATATATATGATCCTTTAGATAATAGTTTTTTCTATAGACAAAACATATGTTAAATTCTCTAATCATATAAATTATATATATTACGAGTATTTTTTAAATATTAATCGCATCTACTTATAAACTCACATGAAAATACAGCACATATTGGAGAGTTTGACATACATAATATAAGAAATTCGACCAAAGTGTTTTTCTTTTCTTATAACATATTTATTTGGCAAAATATCAATTGCCGTGCACATATGTTACATGAACAACATTTTGGGCTTACTTAATACTCCTCCAGTCCTTAATATAGGACCCAACTATTGAGTAAGTTTTAGTTCTAAATATAAAACTCATTTCTCATATTTATCAATTTTCTCTAAATTATCTTTATAGATACTCCATCAATCATAATCAAGTAAAAGAGGGAGATGAGGTATTAAAAAAGATGATTATGGTATTTTAGAAAAAATGTGTCACATTTCTTATAATTAACTAACTTACCTAACTTTCTTAATCTAATCAAATTAGTTAAATAAGTCTTATATTAAGGACCAGAGGAGTAGATTCACAAAAATTATTATAATTATAATTTAATTAATTATCAACCGCGTTTCATAATAGCACTGCTCTTTTCACGGCTTGTATATGGATTAAGGGTCCATTTCGTACTAAGGAAATTCAAGAAGAAGAAAAAGGAGAAAAAATTTTAATGAATTTATTTTAAAAAAATTAAAGAAGTGAAGTTAAAAGTTTTTTATTAATTTTTATTACTCTTTTATCTTATATCTTATGTTTATTAAGATTTTAAAACCCTAATTTTTTTATTTTTTAAATTAAGTTCATTAAAATTTTCGCTCTCCTTCCTTGCTTTCCATTTCCCCCGCTACCAAACACGGTAAATGATCAGATGATCTGTCGAGTTCATAGTTAAATGATGATTGGGGTCATTGATTTAACTTTACCTATGCGTTTCAAGTTTTCAGCCTCTCAATATAGATAAGCCAGGTATCCTTTTGTTGTTTTACCATCTCATTGGTACAAGGAAAATAGAAAGAAGGGGAGGAAAGGGAAAATTTTGGTAAACTCAATTTAAAAAATTAATAAAATGAGATTAAAAGTTTTTAATTATAATAATAGTCAGCATAACTTATTTATTTTTTAAAAAATAAATAAATATTTTCTGTTATTTTTTCAATCCAAAAACTCCCGAGAACCATAACATAAGTGCGTACTGCGACCACATTTAAGAGAAAAAAAACTCATCTAACAAATCATTGAGATTTTGACTTTAACCTTGATATAGAGAGAGAGTTTTTATTTTATATTTTCTGCAAGACTATTTTTTTGTTATTGATGAATAATATACTCTTGGTACCAGGAAAAAGAAGATGGATATATAAATTTTATTTCAGAAATAATTTATTATAATATTTAAATTTATTTTGTATACAAATCAATGGTCCGTCTTAAAATTCATGACCTATAATTATCATTAATATTAAATCAATATATAATATATAACTTATAATAGATTATACTATCTTCAGTCCTAATTATAAAATATTATTTGTAATCTACAAATGAAGTCTTATAATACTACAAACGAGGTCTTATAATTAGGACCAGAGATAGTATAATTAATTTTTAATTATTAAATAATACTCAGGTCTTATAAAATATGCTGCTTCATACCCTATACAAAAATTATACCTAATTCTTTTATACCTTTTTTTTTTTTTACTACAAATGCAGCGTGTTTCCTAAACTAATCATTCCCTTCATGGCCAAGAAAGAGTCATTTAAACGACATTAGCCATTAGCCTTTGATTAATATATAGTTTGAAAGCCCACTTGAACAATATGCAGTAGTTTTAAATAAACACTGCCAAAATTTACCACACAATTAAACATCATAAACTTTTTTCAACTAAAACATAAAATCAAGGGGAAAAAACTTAGGTCAATTTTCCTATATTTATTATATCAAGTTTTTCAATTACACATGATCATGTATAATTTTTTTATTTCATTTGGATTTATAATTAAATATTATTAGATACTAGTATTTTAAAAATAGAATGTATGATTGATGAACTTGACATAATGGATATAATTAATTTGATGTAATTATTGTTCTCAAGTTAATGAGTAGTAGTAAATAAGTATGACAAATGAATTAGTCCATTTAATTAGGGATTAAATTATGTATTTACTAGTACTTTGGATCACAATGAAACTGGATTAAAAAAATAAAAGCTGATTTACCCGGTGAGAGTCTGCTTCCATTTTAACGGTATATATTTGAGGAAATGCAGACAAAATGAACCTCAAATTGAAATGAAATTCGAAACGGTGGGTCATGCCAAGGAAAACGCTATATATACACGTTCACCTTCGTGGGTCTTGCTTATGTCCAAACCTCCATAGGTTATGGATTCTTAATATCGTCGTCGTCTTTTTCTTCCTCTCTGGCTGCTTTCTGCGGAGTGGGTGGCTCACTGCGAAACCCTCCTCCGTTGTCGTTCCTACATGGCCAAGGGTCGTAAATTGACCGCCAGCCACCGTAGCGAACGCCTCCTGGGAAGCTACAGCTACAACCTCCACAGCCAAACCTCCGTCAGCGCCGCCGCTGACCCAACGGAATTCGCTGAAGACGATGTCTGGTCCACCGTCGACGAAACAGACGACCGCCCAATGAATGTCTCTTTCGGCGAGAGTTCTCTACGCTCGTCTGCAGAGATCAACGGGGGCGGGATCCCGATCAGAGGCGGCCGCCGGATCTCCTGTGATGATCATCGCTGTGTGGGCGGACTGTCCCTGGCGTTCGATGATTCTGGAAACAACGCTACGACGACGTCCTCCAGGATTCTCCACCAGTACCACCGCGGGCACGACAGCGTGGCGCCACAACGTGGACACCACATGGCCACATCGGCTCCCGTGAACGTGCCGGACTGGAGCAAGATACTCCGGTCTGACTCGATCGAATCGCTTCACAACATGGATGGCGGTTTCGAGGACGAATCGGAAATGGTCCCCCCGCACGAGTACTTGGCGCGTGCGTACGCGCGGAGCCGGAAAATGGCCGCGAACTCCGTTTTCGAGGGCGTGGGACGGACGTTAAAGGGTCGGGACATGAGACGGGTTCGCGATGCAGTGTGGAGTCAGACCGGGTTCGATGGGTGAGTAAACCGGTTCAGGCCGGCACTGTATTTGATAATTATAGCTGTTCTCAGTCTCAGGAGCGGTTTAGTTGGGAAGATGTATGATAGCTTTAGGTTTTTTCGGGATTTTAGTGGGGTTTGGGACGATGAACCGGGTGGGTTGACTCGGACGAGGAGGGTCTAGCTCAAGGCGAGTGAGCCTAAAAGCAAAAGCCGGGACTTTCTAGATTCTGATTGAGATCTCCCCAGGGACGAATCCAGGAATTACTTGATTTTGGTGGGAGGGGAGGGGGTTTCAAAAAATCCATTTAAAAATTTTTTACAGGTAAAAAATGTAATTTTCTTCAAGGGGTCATTGAATTGTTTTTCCGGGGCTTCTTTGGGGGGGGGGGGGTTGGGAGCGAGCGAGGGGTGGGAGGGCAATCCCGTTTTTGAATAATTTTGTACTCTAATCTCTGTTTGTTTAAGCGGGTTCACTATTCCATATTTAGGATCCACGAGTCAAGGCAAAGCAAAGGCCCAGAAGCTGAGAGATATATATATCTGGTCTCCCAAAAAGCACAGAAGAACTATAATCTATCATCAATTTTGTGATTTTATTAAGACAAAATTAGTAGATAAAGTTGAAACACCAACAATAAGCATCTTCTTCAAGAGGCTCGTTGGCAATTGATTGGTTCTCATTCAATAAGAATCACATAAATCCTTGCAGTACCCTTGTCATAAGGATCCAAAATTCCAGAACAAATTCTTCCTGGTATGTCACCCAAAATTTCATCTTTTTAACCATTTAACCTTCTCAGGTCTCTATGGAAACCGATGCCAATATACAAACACCCTTGTCATAATTGAAGAAATGGATTATCTGGTATGTGAAAGATTGGAAGAGGTCAAAACAAACGCTGATGCTAAAGTGAAGGGAAAGAATGTAACGAAAGGAGGGGAAAAAGGGTATAATTTAGGACCAATAATGTTGTTTGTTTGGATTAGGCTAAAAATTAAGACAGAATATTATGTTATGAAACTATTTTCAAATGAATATTCCACCGTCTGATCAAACAAATGTCCCCGTCTTACTCAGCTTTGATCACGAGGCATCTGGGTCAATGAGAACATATGCATTGTCCTGTGTGCCATATTTGCTACGTTAAAGGTTTTTGTGTGAAGTACATCTTTGCTAGAAAGCAAGGGAACTTATTCAAATCTTGTTATCTTTCTTTGATTTTGAATAATAGTGCCGGTGTTTATTCGGAAAAAAAATATTAATTAATAATTAATTGACAAGTTTTTGGACATAAATCTAAATATACCATTTTTTTGAGTAAATAATTGGTATTCAAAGTTGTAAATCATAATCCAACTTGCTTTTGTAATTTTCTAACACTATTCCAAACACACGCATAATAATTGATTGATTTTAAATGAGTTGAGTTTATAAGAGATGAATAACTGAATTACGTTGATAAAAAAAATAATTAAAATTAGTTAAGAATAATTAATATATAAAAAGTTTAATTTTGTTCCAAAAATGCCTTCATTAGTAAGGGGAGAGAGCATGAGGAAGAATAATTAAATTATTAAAAGAAAGACGAGTGGGAGGGAAAGAGAGTGTGAGTTGGAGACAAAAAAGAAATAGGTTGCCAATAAGAATGAAGCTGTCTCCTCCCATTCTCCAAGTCCACTGTTTGGTTTCATTGTTCACAATATTTTTTTTTTAATATTGTTCATAATATTCAAAATGATATCTCTTTCTTCAGAGTGCTTCGGGCTCAGTGTGGAGTAATAAATACAATAATATTAATATCACAAATAAATGGGGGGCAAAATAGGAAATCAACACAAACATTTAGAGACAACTTTTAAATGTCTCTTATATATAGAAACATGTCATATGCATCAAATATTTCTTATAATAAGGACCGGAGGGAGTATTAGTTACTTGTATAAGAAAATTTTGATCTTAAGTGCAAGTCAACTATATCCTGTTTAATGCTTTATTTTCAATTTTACTCTTGTTGATTATAATAAAAAAAATTAATTAACTCCTATTTTCTCTCTATATCTCTTTAATAAGGGTAAAAGTGAAAATTGTCATCTATATAATATGTTTTTTTTTGTCATGAAAAACTCCTATAAATGACTAATAATAAGTACTAGAGTGGTGATGATGATTTTCTTAGAACAATCCATACCTACTCAACCACTATCATTTTGCTCAAATGGAATGGAATCTGTCCCCTTATTATAACCAAAGCCTGTTAGTAGAATGTACCCTTTTATCCAAATAAAATTGACAATAAACATGATACTGCCATCACCCCAATATTATTTAAGATTATCAATTTACACATTCAATGACACTGTCTATTAAATATGACAATGGATTAATAATTCACGTAATCAACGTCCTGTCACTTCGACAATCTCTCCATCATCATTAAAAAATTTCCCATTTACTCGCTGAAACAAAACCTGTGGTCTTCTTGTGATAATAAAATATTTGCTTATTTATAAAAATAAAAAAATGCAATTTCAGAAAGAAAAAAAGTTGTGGACAAAATCACAGGGTCCGCCCTCATGAGAGTGGGACACCCGGTGCTTTTAATGAACAATTGATTGATAGTGCCTCAAAATTGGCAAAACAGAGCAAAGGTCCAAAGAGGATTGGGAGCAACATTAATAAGATTCAATGGCCAATGTTTGCGACTTTCTTCCATGAAAGTGACTTTTAAATTTTATTTTTCTTTTGTTGGGCTCACAAATTATGTGACTTTAGGACCATTGGTTTCTCCACACTCATTCCCCTTTAAGTGTTGTGGACACTTTGGTTCCTTGTGATTTGGGCCACACTGTACAATTATTTTATCAGGATCACAATCATCTATCCATCTTGTGTGCATTTTAAGATAAGCACTTCAAAGCTTTTGACCATTGAGAAAAAAGATAAGCACTTATGCTTTATCCTTTTTATCTTCTTTGCGTGGGACCTACTTCCAGCTTAATTAAACTTATCATGTATCTCTAGGTTATAATTAGCCTTCCCCAAAGTGCTTTTCAAATTCATCCTCAATAATTTTATTTTAATTGAAACCTAAACTCGTATATTCCAGGTATTAATGCCTTTCTCCCCATAAAGTTGCAATTCCCTTGGCCAAAAGGGTCTTTTTGTTATAGCATATTTATTTACCCGTCATTCTTGACAACTCTCTTTTCCATTTAATAGTGTTGTTTGAGATGAGTGATAAAATCATATTATTTTCGGTCCTAAATATAAGAGCTAGTTGAATAATTTAAGTAAATCAAGAAAATAAGTTAAGTTAGTTATTTGTAATAAATATGTGTTGTCTTTCTTAAAATATTCTTGCTAATCAAGTGTATTGGTTAGAACTACTAATATTATAAGGATTATCTTTAAAAAAAATACATAAATATGAGAGACAAAATAAACCAGAGTCTTATATTTAAGACTAAATAAAAGTCAAATTAGATCTTATATTAAAGACCAGAGGTCTTAAATATAAGACTATAATTTATTTGATTTTTCAATTTTATATATATTTTTTCTAAACTATCATTATCAAACTGCACACATGAAAAGGGTGTTTCCATTAACAGGGATAAAATCAAAGGGAATATTTTTTAAAAAATTGATAAATATTTATTATAAATAAATAATCTAATTTATTTTTTAATATTTATAAATTAATTATCTAACTCAGTGAGAAGAAGTATTAATTAACCAAAACATTGTCCCCCACCCGGCCCTCCCTTCCAACAACAAAAGAATTATGTTTAAAATAGTGTTATTAATCTGGGTCTGGCCCATAGCCACAGCCTTGATCAGAGGCCCAACCCTGATGTGATAATGATCAGCTAAGCACAACCCTCTACAAGAGCCCAGTGTGCTAAGGGTCTATTTCGTTCTTTTTTAAAAAAAAAAAAAAAAAGAGGCTAGAAATTGCATACAATTTTTTTGTGGTGAAAAATGTTGCTGTTTCTTAAGAAAATCAACCCTGTATTGCCTAACCAACCCTCTGAGCTCCAAATCAAACGACTAATGTCAAAAATGGGTTGACTTTAGCTCCTCAGTGGTTATGGGATGTTTTCCAGATTTCCCTGAATCAAATATTGTCATGATTTTTAAATTAAATGACATTTTTATTATAAAAATAAAACGAGCTACATAAGAATATGCCTGAGCCTAATGAAGTATGCAGGGTGTAGGTCTAGCTCAAGACATCTAAGCAAATTTTGATCACAACGCTACACACGATTGTTCGAATTGCGATTATAAGGATGCGTTCTTTCGATCGGGCTTCCCAGTCCCATCGCCTCTCTTTTATACTTTGTTTTCATACGGTTTCTGCACCCCCCACCCCTAATTTTGAGTTTGTTCATAACTATATGAAGTTTCTCGAATTAACTAGAAGCTTTTCCATGTGCGATGCACAGAGTGGGGTGTAACTACGTGTGATTAGATTTGAAATAAGTAAAAGATCTTTATAAGGTGTATTATATATTTGATTCAATTAGGATTTATTATTCTATTTGTATTCTTCGCTACTTCTTATGAAAACAATCATGATATATTTTTCTGTGTATTTTTATAAATATAACGTTATTTTCATAAGATAAAACAATTAAAAAAAATTAAGGCCTATACATATGGGTTGCATTCATGGTCCCTCTTATTCCAAGAAAATCTCATTTCTCCCTGCCCCAAATCTTTTGCCGTGTATTTTTAAAGATATAACATTTTTTTATATGAAATAAAATAATAAAAATAAGGCACATATATATGGAGAGAGAGCATGTTCAAATACAAATTTAGGTTATTCAGCCACAAAAAATATTAGATCTATCATATGTATGAAGCTGAATGAATTGAATTATTATTAATAACTCAATGTAATTACATAAGATACTGATGTAGGAAAGAAAAAGGATGTCGGAATTTAAGCATTGTTTTGCACATTGATAGGAGCTGAAATAAATTTAGGTAGCAAACAAATTATGGATTTGTAACCCGACCCATTTAAATATTAGCGGATATTATGAGATTTTATCAATATATTAGACTAAAAAAAAAAAAGAAGGCCATTTTCATTCTAACTTATTTGGTCATGGAAGAAGCCAAACACACATTGAGTGGGGTGAAAAGGTGGGTTTCTGCAGCGATCCTGCTTTTACCATTTTGGAGCAGTTCTATTTCCATCATATGTATAATGTGGGAGTCACTTTCCCCCAACAACCTTGGACCCCCTTGCATGCCCTCTTCCTCTGTTTTTTTTTTTGGACATTTTTTTTTACTTTAACTTTATCCACACAAAAAAAAAGAATAATAATTCTAGTTATAAAATAATACTCCCTCGGTCCTAAATATAAGAACTATTTTGTAGTGAACTATTTTGTAGTGTAAATTGCACTACAAAATACTCCTCCGGTCCTTAATATAGGACTTAATTATTGAGTTGGTTTTGGTCCTAAATATAAGATCCATTTATCATATTTATCAATTTTTTCTAAATTACCCCTATGAATACTCTCTCAACCATAATCAAGTAGAAGAGGGAGAGGGGATATTAAGAAAGATGATTATGGTGTTTTAGGAAAAACATGTCACATTTCTTATAATTAACTAACTTACCTAACTTCCTTAATCTAATCAAATTAGTTAAATGGATATTATATTAAAGACCAGAGGAGTAGTTCTTATGTTTAGGACCGGAGTGATACTATTTTTAATATAAGAACTTTTTTTTTTATTATTTTGATTCTAAATATAAGACCCTAATTCACTCTATCTCTCCTATTTATCATTTTTATAATAGTAATTATAACCAATATAATTGATTAATAAGGATATTTTAGGAAATACAACACCTATTTATTATAAATAACTAACTTAACTAATTTTTTTAATCTACTCAAATTAGTTAATTAGTTTTTGTATTAAGTACTGAAAGGAGTAATTCTAAGCCAAGTGTAAGCCATTTTCATTCTAACTTATTTGGTCATGGAAGAAGCCAAACACACATTGAGTGGGGTGAAAAGGTGGGTTTCTGCAGCGATCCTGCTTTTACCATTTTGGAGCGGTTCTATTTCCATCATATGTATAACGTGGGAGTCACTTTCCCCCAACAACCTTGGACCCCCTTGCATGCCCTCTTCTTATTTTTTTGGACTTTTTTTTTTACTTTTAACTTTATCCGCACAACAAAAAAGGAATAATAATTATAATTCTAAAATAAT